CAGCCACTCCCGCCTACCTCCCCTGCCCATCGCCTAAGTGGTGAGCATAACCGGTCAGGGGTGCACTGGCACTCTCAGGGGGTGCACCCTCTACGTGTCACCGCTGTGCTTTGGGTGGCTCTAGGAGCCACTCTGATTAAAGCGTCCTCGCCCCCCTCCCCTTCTAGAGCATGCGTAAAAATGCCCTGTTCTCAAAAGACTTCAGAGCATGTGTAAAAATGCCCTGTTCTCAAAAACCTAGACAGGTTACAGGGGTGGGCTGATGAGAACAGGATGGGTTTCAACACTAACAAGTGCAAGGTACTGCACCTGGGGAGGAAGAACCAGCAGCATACTTACAGGCTGGGGAACTCCCTTCTAGTCAGCACAGAGGCAGAAAAGGATCTTGGTTTCATTGTTGATTCCAAAATGAACATGGGCCACCAATGTGGGGACGCAGTCAGGAAGGCTAACCACACTTTGTCATGCATCCACAGATGCATCACGAGTATGTCCAAGGAGGTGATCCACTCCCTCTGTGCAACACTGGTCAGTCTGCAGTTGGAGTGGTGCGTCCAGTTCTGGGTGCCGCAATTCAGGAGGGATGTGGACAGCATCGAGAGGGTCCAGAGGAGGGCCACTCGCATGATCAGGGGGCAGCAAGGCAGGCCCTATGAGAGGAGGCTACGGGATCTGAACCTGTTCAGCCTCCACAAGAGAAAGCTGAGAGGGGATCTGGTGGCCATCTACAAACTGGCCAAGGGGGACCAGCAGGCTATGGGAGAGTCCCTGTTCCCCTGAGCACTACCGGGAGTAACGAGGAATAAGACTGTAAGTTGACTGAGAGTAGATTCAGGCTAGATATAAGGAGGCACTACTTCACAGTCAAGGTATCTAGGATCTGGAACCAACTTCCAAGGGAAGCGGTGCTTGCCCCTAACCTGGGGGTCTTCAAAAGGAGTCTAGACAGCCACGTAGCTGGGGTCATTTGACCCCAGCATCCTCTCCTGCCCATGGCAGGGGGTCAGACTTTATGATCTGCTCAGGTCCCTTCCGACTCCACCAACTATGAAACTATGAAAAAATAAACACAATGGAAAAATGAATGAAGGATTATAGTGGTTACATAAGTCTACAGTTATCTGGGATTTAAAATGATGTAGTTACACAGAAATCACAACTGTGAAAAATCCCTTCTTTCTGGGTTATTTCACAATTCACTGTGAAGAAAAGTTTCAATTACTCACCTTATCAATCTTGTCTTCACCATAATTGGGACATTTTTCTTATCTACTTCCTTATTATTGTTCAGAAAAAAAGGACTTGGGAACATCATTTTATTTTAGTGATAGAAGATGATATTGGACCTGCAACCCAGTAATATAAATCTCAATGATATTAAATGACCATATTGGTTAGCTATATATGAATTGTTACGTATTAATGTAGATCACACTCATAGATTTCATAGACGTTAGGGCTGGAACGGACCTCGAAGATCATCGAGTCCAGTCCTCTGCCCCAGGGGCAGGAAGTCAGCTGGAGTCAAAGGATCCCAGCAAGATAAGCATCTAAGCGTTTCTTGAATGAGTCCAGAGTAGGTGCCTGCACCACTTCTGGAGGGAGTCTATTTCAGGTCCTGGGGGCTCAGACCGTAAAGAAATTTTTTTCTTATGTCCAGCCTAAAATGGTCTTGTAGGAGTTTATGACTATTGGTCCTTGTTTTTCCTTGGGGTGCTCTGGTGAATAGACGTTCTCCCAGATCCTGATGTACACCCCTTATGTACTTATAAGCAGCCACCAGGTCCCCCCTGAGCCTATGCTTTTCCAGACTAAAGAGTCCCATGGCTCTCAGCCTGTCTTCATAAGGCCTGTTCTCCTGCCCTCTGATCATGCACATGGCTCTCCTCTGGACTCTCTCAAGCTTCTTAACATCCTTCTTGAACTGGGGAGCCCAAAATTAGATGCAGTACTCCAGCTGCAGCCTCACTAAGGCCGAGTACAGGGGGAGGATGACATCCTGAGATTTACTTGAGAACCATCTATAGATGCAAGCCAGGGTTTTGTTTTTTCCAGCTGCCACTCCTAACAGATCAGGCAGTATCTATAAAAAGATGTCTGTAATATTTTTTAAAAGCCTCTGATCGCATAAAAGGAATAGGAGGAATTAGAATCAGGAAAAAATGATGAAACCAGTTCCCCTTCTGGTTCACCCTAGAGCCAGGCTTTACACTTTGGACAAATAATCAAGGTCTGATAGATGCCTTTCTTCTCTAGCTGTACTGCCTGAATTTCCATTAGGGAATTTATAGCAGTTTTACTAATGGCAGATATTGAGAAGTACCATCTTCATCAAACTGTGGTGGAAGCATTTGGTGGAGGAGAAGTCTGAGGATCTCGGGGAGAAGAGAAAGGATAGGAAAAGAGAAGAAGTGAAAGGCCAGGGTCAGGGTTGGGAAATTAAACAATCTAAATTCCTAGCAGAGGCAGCAGTTCTCAAACCTAAGTCCTAAAAAACACATTTAGGCACTGGGAGGTGGCAGATAGGAAAATAAACGAAGCCTGAACCTTACTCTAGATTTTGTTCTCTCTGACAAAGTAGACTGTTGCCTGCAAAAGCCCATGCTTCTCTGAACCAATGAGTTTCACCCTGCCCCACATTTTGCCTTCTCTATCTCTGGTGACTTTGAACACACCATTCTGACAAGTCTCTAAAGATAAGCAAACACATGCCACGAAGGAAGGTAGTTTAGTTATGTCCTTGCAAAACACTGAGTGGAGTTTTACTCTAAACGGAGAAGTCCCCTTATAAAGGGCCCTCTGTTCTTCAAGGTAGCCACCATATATCTCAGAGAAGGTGCATCTTCTGCCCCTGTTGAAAGGCCTGGGGTAGTGACAGCTCTTTTCCTCCTACCTGTGTTCTGGCTGCTGAGGGGAGGAAGAAGTGGAGATGTTAATCCCAATGTGAATATTCACTGATGCAGAACAGTACCCTCAGGAAATTACTATAGTGGGACTCACTTCATGGATGGACACTATTTTAAAAATGTTGCCGAAGTCTAATTAAATATATTCAAGATCAACCTGGTAAAGACAGTGAAAACTCATATGTAGGTGCACTTAAATCAGTTTAATTGTTCTATGACTTACACTAAAATGGCTTACACAAGCAAAATCCATATAAAGAATGTTTTAAATGCACATACACGAGTGCAACTAAGTTGATTTATTTAATTCAAGGCAACTTTTCTAATATAAATCAGGCCTAAATCAGAGGAAACTTCTCCATGAATGGAATATAAGTTCCTTAGAACAGAGAGAGCACAAGAAATAATGAATATTTGATTCCCTGTTCTCAGACAGAAGTTTCACTATATCCATGTTCACTAGAAGGGGCTTGTAGCACTGGTTTACAGTACTTAGCACTTGCAGGAGGTGACAACTATGTGCACAGTCAACAGCACGCATGAGTCTGCACATTACTTCCACACTGACTTGAGCAACACATTTAAGAAGAACATTTATTGCTCATGAAACAGGGAATCTTGAGCCAATGAAACCATTAAAATATCACACGGGACCTTTGTGGAAGTTATTTCTTTAGAATCTTTTATTCATGAGTGAAAAACTCAAATCCAAACAAATGTTTGGTGATGTGACAGATTTTCAGAGATCTCAATATAAAAGCATAGCAAACTGATTGGTTGACATAATGACATTTTAAAATGGCGCACACCCATAGCATAAAGGAACAACCTCCTGCTCTAAAAGCGATCAACACTGTTTATGATTTTGTCCAAAATTTTTAAAACTATGGTAGAAAGAGGATTAGAAATCCCACCAGCATGTAGCAAAATTGGTTTAACATCTTTTAATCTGTGTTATTCTTGAGATTACAACACAGCCAGTTACCATTGTAAGGTGTTAAACAGAGGCTACAATAAGGGCCAAATAGTGCTTAAATAGTTCTTCTCTATTATCCGTATTATAAGATTGCCCAGATCAGGCCACTAGACTCCTCTACCTGTGATTAGCTGTTTTGATTTAACAGTTTTTTTATCAATTCAAGACAATGTGTAAATGGGACACATTTCATATAGGTCAGAAAAACCCAATTATGGCATTAAACAGCTCACTTAGGTTGGGTCAAAATCATAGGCTGACAAGCAGGAAAGACAGGGCAAGGCTCTGATGAGTCCTATACATTCTACTCAGTCCTACTATTCAAGTACTTATAACTTCTCCATTATTATTATCACTGTATCTAAGTGCCAAAGGGAAGACAGAGATAGTGAAAGTGGCTAGACAATCACCTTGCTGGGGTCGTTTGACCCCAGTACTCTTTCTTGCCATGGCAGGGGGTCGGACTTGATGATCTGCTCAGGTCCCTTCTGACCTTACTAACTATGAAACTATGAAAGTAACTCTCTGCCCTGGATTGTAGGAAAGCTACCAAGCTGGGCTGCAGCACCCCTGAGAGCTGTTGTGTGTCACCCTCTTGGAAGAACAGTCAGTGATTCCAACTTCGGCCTGACCATTCTCTCCACTATTTATGAGCCTGAACCCCCTGGCAGGAGAGTAGTGCCAGGGATATCCCTTTATGTGCTCCACAAATTAATCTCTCACCCCAGTCAAGTCAAAACAATTCAGGCTTCCTAAGTCCACAGAAGAATATCAGGGGCAGGACCTGCCCCATCATGGCATGGATTGGAGCTAATGGATCCTTGGAAAAGCATGCACTGCTGAAGCTACATATCTCAAAGCAAGATTATAAAATGCAGCGTTTTAAAAATGATTGTGTTTAGGTATTGCACAATATTAACTTTTCTGCTAATGGATCTAAAACATTAAGAAGAATTAGAAGAAATGCTATTAGAAATTATTGTTGTAAGCAGCTCCTGTTACTAATGAATTCATGTCAATTTGGATCAAACTTTTAGCTGGCCTCTCTATTTGCACATAGGCAAAATCTTTACTTACAAGCTCAGTCACCTGCTCTGCACAAACAAATGCAGATTTTGGCTTGTGAAAATAGAAGCACCCACTTTCTGCAAAGATCTGCTGATCATTTGGCCTACTGCATGATCAAAGGTTACACCTTAGTTGGATTTCATTTGTGTTTTCAGCTTGGCAAGGCGTGCAAGGCATTCATCTCTCCATTCTCTCCTGAGATTTATGGATTTTGGAGTGTTTTCACACATTGCCTGAAATAAAGAAAATAGGAAATTAAACCTCATGATGTGAGTAAACTTCTTCCCAGCATTATTTTTCTGTTCTCTCTCCTTCCAGCCAACATTTGTGAAAGCAATTGTTATATGGTTTCTCATTCTGTTGACAATTGGCAGTAAGAATCAAGGGACTTTTTTGTTTGTTTAAATCCCTTACATGTTTATAGATAAGTCACTTTTATTCAATGAAAATGAAAACTATGGAAACATGCTATCACTATTAATAATTCACTCTTGCACGCTGTTCTACCAACTAATTAAAATTTACTTAACCTATGTTTGGAGGTGGCTATTCACATCATTCATTCTGCTTTGGGAAACATTTTGACCTGAAACTGATAGTGAAAGTCCATTGAGGGCCACTTAAGCATCAATCCATCTGCTTCCTTTGCCCATGAAGCAGTTGTCAAGGCCTTTTTACAAAAACCCTTTTATTAACTGGAACAGGGGAAACCTGGCTGTGGTCTTTTAGGCAGCAAGAAAAGTGCTCTGATTCAAGTGTGCAGGAGGGCATTGAAAGATGAGATCTCTTTCTATCTCCTAATAAATAAAGTAAACTCTGTTTGTTAAGGGGTCGTTTTTTGTGTAGGCAGTATTAAATATGTAAAAATAAGGGGTAAGATGCATTTAAAAATTGATACTAAATACCTGGCAGTTTTTTCAAACATGGAAGAGAAGGAAGCTAACCTATAAAAAGGGATTCCAAAACTAAAAGACATGGCAAGGGAGCAGGCTGCAACTACAGATGAAAACAGTATCCAAAGCCAAAGGATAGAAAAGCAGACCTCAGCAGCATAGAATGTGAAGATGTATTTGTTAAATGGTTCACTGGAAAAATAGGTATAACAGGTAGGAGGCTCATGCCAGCTAGCATAACACTGACTGATCTGCTATCAAAATGGGGAGAAGCCAACTATTTCTGCAAGTGCAGATATAGATCACAAGCAGACCTGGATACAGGCATGGGGGAACTGGGAGGCTCAAAAGGGGGCCTGAAACCTTATAAAAATGGTCATTTTGTTTCCATTGTCCAATTATTATTATCATTATCTGTGGTGAAGGGGGGCCCAATAAAAAGTTGGCCCATGGCCAACAGAAGTCTAGGTATGGCACTGATCACAAGGTCATCTCTGCCAATAGAGTAGTTCTTAGGTCAGAAGTTTAAAAGATAAGCCTTGAGAGACATAAACAAGGCTGGGTAAAAAGCGAAATTGTTGTCAATATTTATTGATAAATTTCCATACAAATAGCAACATAAGAAGTGTTTAATGTTTCCACTAGGTTATTTGTAAGCCAATCTTTATCATTGGCTTACACATGAAAGATAAGGACAGACAGAAACAGCGTGGAGCTGAAATAGCATTTGGCACTTTCCAGAGGAATAAACAAATGCTTTCACTTATTTGATGTTCCTTTTGATTAAATGCTTCTGATAAACTGTTCCTCATTAGCTGTTCCTGATTAACTCCATATGAAGACATTCTTATATTGGAATAAGAGCACTTTCTACCCCCCGTTCTTTTTAACCCACTCTGAAGGCACTCTTTTTAACCCACTCTGAAATAAATGCCTTATTTCAGAATAGGTCAGGTATCCAGGTTGCAGCCATACTGGTCTAGAGGTAAAAGGAATCCGAACTCATGATAGAGGTGATATCTACCATGGAAGAAGGGTGCTTGTGCCTGAAAACTTGCAATTAAAGATATCACCTCTACCACAAGTTCTGATTCCTGTTATTTCAGAATAAGCATTAATATGGAACAGCTAACTAGAAACAATTCCAAAGGTAGATAAGACTGTATAAAAGGCATTAATAAAAGATGACCATGGAAAGACAGACTTGGATAAATATTTTCACAGCCTGATTTATATAGTTTCTACTCCAATATTTTCAATCAGTCATGCTAAATTCAAATCAAAGCCAGTCCCAAGTAACCAGTCAAGAAAGTAATCAGTAAAAATACCTTCATGCCAAAATATGTTACTTTTGTGGTTTTTATGAAATTGCATTAATTCAGTCTTGTACACTCACCTGACTGATTTTCTCCTCAATTTCACCTGAAAATTCAGGTACTGGCCCAAAGGTTTTCAGAACATGTATCATACCTTCACGGTATCTCTCACAATAGTTTGTTATTCCTAAAACAGGAAGGGAAAATGTATTGGATTGATTCCAGAATAGAAATGGAAATTCCTAACTTTGTTCTATATTGTGCTCATTGCCTAAATGGCATCTCGTTCCAGAACTGAGATAGACATAGAGTATAAACGCATGCAACAACTACAACAATATTAAATATAAACTGTTATGCTGCAACAAGTCCATCTGAACGTTCCTGCAGCAATACAACCTTACTTCATTCAGGGTTAAAGTTGTAATGATTTAGCTCATTTGCATCACTACAGGTTCATGCAGATGAAACTGAAACATTTACAACATAACAGCTGATGCATGCTTCCTAGCAGCATCTCCCTGTCCTCTTCTAAAGCAGTTAAAAAGTACACAAAAAACCTGCTGCCTGTCCAGAACCAAATTCAAACTATGACAGAGAAACTGTCAAGACTATCAGGCTCTTGGACCCTTTCCTATTAATTCACAAGGACACTAAAGAGGCTTCCAGGAATGACTGGTTCACAGTGAAGCAGTTAAAAATAGTACTTGATTTTCCAGATACAATTTTGAACTGTTTCAAGCAGCTTTAAACCAGTTTAACCAGCTGTTCGAGCCTTGTATCTTTGTCCACTTCAGGTCTGAGTCTAAGGTGTAAGTGGTATGTGTCCATACCCTCAGAAAGATAGTACTGGGAAAAGAACCATAGTGATGATACAATAGAGGGTCTACTGTAGATTGCTAACTGAGGAAGAGGAGGTGAATGCAGCATTCTTCAAGCAAGAAACAAGAATATCTAAATGTATGAGGTAGTAATAATGGGGAATTTTAACTTTTCTAATACCTACTGAAATAAAAATACAGCAACATATAAAATGCTCAAGTTTTTAATCCATATAGAACACAACTTTCTGTTTCAGAAAGCTAGGGAAACATGAAGGTGGTCAGAATCTTAGGATTAAATGGCTATAACATAATAGAATTCAGGATGCTAACACAAGGAAGTAATGGGAACAACAAAACATAGAGACTGGCCTTCAAGCAGGCAGATTTTAAGCAACTCTAAGAAACAGCAGGCACATCTACACATGCATTTACTTCAGCCTGGATTTACTGTGCAGTAAGCTACTGCACAATGGGTGCATATACATGTGACGCTATGTCACCATAGTGACAGACTATGGCGATGTAGTTCATCACTATGTTGACATGGCACAGGTGGGCACAAACTATGACACTAACACTACATTGCTGTAGCAAAGAGCTACCTTGCTATAGCATGTTGCTATGGCAACGTAGTATCTAAAAATAATCATGCACCGCCAGGACGGCATAGTACCAGCTGTTACTGCACCATCATTTAGCACTTCCATAAGCAAGTACTAAATGACAGCGCAGTAACAACAACGTGGGGGGCACACATAGGCAGATAGATAAAAAAAATTGGTGGGCGGGGGGGCAGGCTGAGCATGTGTGCATGCAGTCCCTCAGGTGGGAAAGTCTGCAGGGTAAGGGGCAGGTGCAGGAGAAAGGGCCAAGGAGTGGGGCTGGGACTGTGCAGGGATCAGGAGAGACTGGAGCTGAGCCAGGCCCAGGATCGGGGCCAGGGCCCACTGTGCCTGTCCCTTCCCCTGTGCACAGGGTCGTTACCGGGTGCCAGTGCCCCCAGCCTTGCACTGGCCCCAGCCCTGGCCCCACACTGTCCGGGGGGGACCGGAGCCAGGGGCCAGAGGGGCCAGCCTCGGCTGTCCTGCCGGGCCAGAGGAGGTGGGGCCCCGGGACCCCTATGCCTGCTCAGCCAGCCCCTGCACAGTTGGGGCAAGTTGGGGTGCAGAACAAGGCTACAGCTCATCTGGGGGGGCGGGGGGAGGGGCAGCGTCTCGAGCTGCATGTGTCCTGGGAGGCACAGGGGCTCATGCCCCCGGATCTGCATGGGGTGGGGCAGGGTGCCGCAGGGCAGCACCAGGCTGTTTCCGGCGGGGTGGCCATGCTGCACTCTGGGCGGGAGACAATGACACTGGGACTGGCCCTCCTCACTGCCCGGCCCACCCAGCAGCGGGACGCACATGGCATTGTGCCGCACTGCTGTTGAAGCAGCAGTAGCAAGGTGCGGAGGCAGGGACCAGAGCCCAGCCCGCAGATGCAGCCCATCCTTGTCCTGTACACAGATCAGGGGGCCACATGCCCCCCGCCCCTTTGGCTCCCCTGCACCAAGATAAGGGTCTCCCAGCCCGAGCCCCTGACTGTGGCGCTCAAGCCGGGAGATGAGCATCTCCCAGGAGTGGTCCCACAGTCACAGAGCTGCTGCTGGGAGATAAGGGTCTCCCTTCCCAAGCCCCCTACCATGGAGCTCAGGCTGGGAGATACCATATTTCACAGTGTATAAGTCAGGTTTTGAAGCCTAATTTTGGCCTCTGAAAATGCAACCTTGACTTATACACTGTCACATAAAAAATTGTTGCCGACAAAGTGTAAGTTTAGCAAATGCATGAGGCACAGTTGAGCTAACTGCACTAATCACTTGAGAAGTGGTCCCACTAATTACAGGAGGTGCAGTCGCACTAATTAAATCAGCACTATTTAGCGAAAATCAAATGACCTTAATTACCAGTACTGCAAATACTACATGATATTCAGGATGCTGCCAAAATTAATGAAATACAATGCCGAATTCAAGACCAGAGTAATCAGTTTTGTTCTTGATACTAACAACAGTTCTGCAGCCCATCAGTTTGGTGTGAATAACAAATTGATCCATGACTGGTGGGAAAACATCGACAGCATAAAGAAGATGCCTCATGAGAAATGTGCAGATCACGTAAAGCAATGCGGGTGGCCAGATTTAGAAAGAGACGTTGCCAAATGGGTCAATGATCAGTGACAGTCTTGCAGAATCGTAACAAGAAACATCATCCAACTGCAAGGCAAGATGTGGGCTATGGAGAAAAGATTGAAAGACTTTATCAGCAACCCAACCTGGTGTTCCCAGTTTATGAAAAGGAATTCTCTCTCTCTGCACCACGGAACAAAGATATTGCAGAGGTTACCAGCCAACCCTGAAGATAAGTTAACCATGTTCCAAAGCTACATGTTGAACCGCTGAAAGAAAAACAATTATGATCTCAGCCAAATTGGGAATATGGATGAAACACCCATGTGCTTCAATATGCCAACAAGCCAAACTGTGGATGTCACTGGCAGTAAAACTGTACTGATAAAGACTATGGGCCAGAGAAAACAAACTTTACTATAATTCTTGCCTGCACGGCTAACAGGATGAAACTAAAACCCATGGTCATCTTCAAAAGGAAACATGCCGCAAGAAAGAACAATTCCCCACTGGCATTGTTGTTCAGCTGGATGGATAAGGAAAGCATTTACATCTGGATACAGTGAGTGTGGAATACGTACCCCGGCACGCTGTTAAAACCGAAATCAATGCTCATGTGGGACACATTTAAGACTCACTTCTGCAACAGAGTGAAAAAGAGTCTGCAGCAAAGTAAAACTGACTTAGCAGTCATTCCCAGAGGGCTAACATCCATTGTACAGCCATTGGATGTGTGCTTAAGCAAACTGTTCAAAGACTGCGTTCATGTCAAGTGGCAGAGCTGAATGATGAGCGGCCAATATTCATTTACAAAAGCTGGAAACATACACGTGGTCTCCTTAGCAACTGTACACCAGTGGATTCTTACAGCTTGGAGGGACATTACATTTGGAACCATTTCACATTTCTTCAAAAAATGCAGGATCAGTAATTCTATGGAAGGTGAGGAGGATGATATTCTGTGGTGTGATGAAGATCACACAGAGGATGAAGAAACTGAAGCATCCAATGCTGAAGATCCATACAATGATTAGATTACTAACCATTTATATTAGAAGGAACCATTTGGGGATGATAGTTCTGATGATGAAAGAAAATGAGGGATTTTTACATTGTTAATTTTCAGTATTCTTAAAATGTCTAAATTAATGAGATGAGGGATTTGTAATTGTCATTATTAGGAGAGATTAATAAATGCGTGAAATGATGGATTTTTAAATGTTATTATGAGGAATTATTTAAAGGGGGATTTTTAAATGTCTGAGTGCAAGCCGCAGCAACCGATGCTAATCACCACTGATGGTGCTAATCAGTGGTGATGGTTCGATTGGTCGTTCCTGATCTGTGCTGTTTTGTGATTGTGTGTAACCCATGGTGATAGGTGCTGAATGTGCTAATCATGCCAGCAACTGTTTGTGCTTGTCTCTGAATAAAATACAGTTTGACTTATATACCATGCCTATGAAAATCCTAACTTTTTGTGTTGGAAAACCAAGGTCAACCTATACATTGTGCCCATCTGTACACTGTAAAATATGGTAAGCATCTCCCAGCAGTAGCCCCACGGTCACCGAGCCATTGCTGGGAATTAAGGGTCTCTCAGCCCAAGCCCCAGGACCACAGGGCTCACGCTGAGAGATAAAAGTGTCCCAGCCCCCAGCTCTGCCATTGCGATCAGGGAGTGGGGGGCTGGGAGATAAGGATCTCCAAACACCTGCTCCCCAGTCGTGATTGGGGAGCAGGGAGACGTAGTCCCTGCCCCGGTTCCTGTGGCATAGCCCACCCCAGCAGCAGGCAGTTCCCAGGGGCAGGGAGCAATCTCCTGCCCCCACTGGTGGATGGCTGACCAGAAGCACATTCTGCTCCCAGTCAGGCATCTACAGGAGCACTATGGCGCCATTACTAATTCTGAGTAAATCTGCTACTTGCATTTGCAGGTAGCAAATTTAGTCAATATTAGGGAGGTTTACTGCAAAGTAAGCATGTGCACGTGTAGATCCATATACTTACTTTGCAGTAAATTACGCTAATCCAAAATTAAGCATCTTGTGCAGATGTGCCCAGTAGGTAATGCACTATGGGTGGACAAATTAAAAGAAGAAGAGTCTAAAAAGGCAGGAAGTTCTTAAGTATCTAGTATTAGAGGCCAAGCATCAAGCCATCCCAGTGCAGGTGAAAGAGTAGAACATCCAGGAGAGA